CCATATCTCTTTATGCCAGTCCACTTGCCCCCGCTCGCATCCACAAATCCCACACCATGGAGTCGTAATAGTACATCACTGGGTAACAAAATAAGGGGGCACCCTTATTTTCGAATGTTCTGGTGCAGCTTAAACCACCAGAACATCCGAGCCTTGGTTTGCCGTGGCAGAATAGAGTTCCCCCTGCACGATAAGCTTTGCCGAAACGCCAGCGCAGTGCTTTTTCTTTTCTTGTGGCTGGCACGCCCAGCCATGTTGGTCCTGTAGCCCCAAGCCTCCAAAATTTACGGATTGGCTCGATTTCTATTTTCAAGTTTGCCTGGGTGATGCACTGGCGGTTCGCGCGCAAGCGATACCAAGCACACTGATACAGATGCATGGGCGGCACATGGGTCTCACACAGAATTACACGAAATATTTCATTCCCAGAGCTTTTGCATCATCAAACGGGATAGGGGTCAAAACCCGGATCTGATTTAGGGTAGGGGTCAAAATTTGAATTTGATTTAGGGGTGAAAGCTCTGATCTGAGTTAGGGGTCAAATTTCGAATCTAATTTAGGGGTCAATTTTGAATCTGATTTTGGGGGATGAAAGCTTTGATCTGAGTTAGGGGTCAAATTTTGAATTTGATTTAGAGGTCAATTTCGAATCTGATTTAGGGGTGGAGGCTTTGATCTGAGTTAGGGGTCAAATTTTGAATCTGATTCAGGGGTGAAAGCTTTGCATCTGATTTAGGGGTCAGTTTTTAATCTGATGGTCGACAAGCAATCTGTGCGGTGCCGTTTGGGCGTCACGAACATGTCTCTTCAAGGGCTTCCATTACAGCTCTCACTGGACCTGGTCTCAGCTGTTCCGAATTGATTGAGTGACTGATTGACTGATCCTACTGATTGATTGATTAAATCTACTGATTGATTGATTGATTGATTGATTGATTGATTGTCTGAATCTGCTGATTGGATGATAAAATCTACTGATTGATCGATTGATTGAATTGATTGATTTAATTGATTGACTGATTTGGTTGATTGATACTGATTAATTGATTAGATCCACTGGTTGATCAACTGATTGATTTGATTGATTGATCGATTGATGTGATTGATGGAATTGATTCAATAGACTGATTTCAATGACCATACTGATTTGATTGATTAAATCTACTGATGGTTTGATTGCTTGACGGATTGCTTGACGGATTGATTGATTGATTGATTGATGATTCGTTTGTATCAATTACCTCGTTTGTTCTGCTTGTTTTGAAAGTATCACGGACACCATCCATCGACTAGTCCATAAAAATTTGCTGTCAATTAATGATCCAATTAATCAACCAACTCATTCACTACATCAATCAATCAGTCAATCAATCAATCAATCAATCAATCAATCAAATCACAAATAGCTAGGTACATTGATCGAACACTTCTTTTCTTTCACGTTCTGCGCTGGACGCGATCACATCGTTGCCGTTTCCTTCTGAACCCCGAAACACCAATTAGCCACACCCATACATGACGACAGATATAATCTGCTGCCCCAATCCACATGTACAAACCCCCCCACAAACACCCATCCTTTAACAAATTGCACGTGCGTCCTGTGGATGCCGATGATTTAGTCTTCCCCCGAACACAACGCACCCTGCTTACGCATGCATACAAGCTAGCTTTTCGGTTCCATCACATTCAAGATGAGGGTGCGTTCTATTCAGGTGAAAGACGGGTCAAGATGAGGGTCAGCTCTATTCGGGTCAAGTTGACCGGATGCCGATTGTCCAATGCGCAATGCAAATGCTTCAGTAGTCAGTCTCGCCGATGCTATATGCATAGAGTCTCTCTTTTTTTCTCTGTTTTTTTTGCCTTAAAAATGCATAATGTCTGAGATCGTGAACAGGGAACGTGGAAGAGAAGAGTAGATTCATATTGTGAATTTTCCTACATCAACCTGTTTTTAAAATACTAGCTTTTTTTTTTTTTTTTTTTTTCTTAAGGAGAATGCCCGCTAAGACAACCAAAGGTAAAGGAGAATCCAGCGGTGGGTGCTTTTTCTCTCCAACCAATTACTTCTTCTCCTTTATTTCCCCTTCTTCACTCCTTTTTCMCCCTTTCTTTGTCCCCCTTTCCCCCCCCCCTTTTTTCCCCTTCCCCCCGCCTTTTTCCCCCTTTTTTTCACCTCCTTTTCCCCCTCTTTTCCTCTTTTTTTCTCCTCCTTTTTTCCCCTGCCCCCCCTCCCCTTTTTTCTCCCTTGTTCCAGCCTACCCTTCCTTTCCTTGACTGCAACTACCGGTAGCCTATCCTACCCTTCTTACCCCGAATACAACGTACGGTCATTTACTTTGTAATCGGGGGAATAAGGGTAGCGCAGTCGGTACACCCCCGCACTGTTGAAATACAGACCCACTGAGTTCGAACTCCACTGGAAGCAGATGAAGCAGATCAGTAAAATACTGAAAATTTGAATTACCTAGGGCCGGTCAATTCAAGATTATGATATCCGTTGCCGTTAAAAAAAATATTAAAATAATAATAATAATAATAAAATACAGACCCACTGAGTTCGAACTCCACTGGAAGCAGATCAGTAAAATACTGAAAATTTGAATTACCTACGGCCGGTCAGTTCAAGATATGATATCCGTTGCCGTTAAAAAAATATATAATAATAATAATAATAATAATAATACAGACCTGAGTTCGAACTCCACTGGAAGCAGATGAAGCAGATCAGTAAAATACTGAAAATTTGAATTACCTAGGGCCGGTCAGTTCAAGATTATGATATCCGTTGCCGTTAAGAAAAAATAATAATAAAATAATAATAATAATAATAATAATAATAATAATAAATACAGACCTGAATTCGAACTCCACTGGAAGCAGAGATGAGTGAGAAATATTACAATTCTGAATTACCTAACAAGGAAAAAAATGCTATGCTGATACAGACCCGAAATAGAGAGCTGAGTTCGTGGAGCTCCACGGTCAGTAATATGCTATGATGATGATATGTCGAGGCCGTCGCCCATTTCAAGAAAGGAAAAAAAAGAAGAAAAAAAAGAAAAGGAAAAAAGAACCAAAAAAGTGGCATGAAGTCTGCACTTTTCCCTGATACTCGTACATTCAAAACTTTGCACCGGTCGAAGGAATGTATCGACTCCAGCACGTTGCCCAGATACGTAGAATGTCGTTGTCAGAGGGGGCAGGGGTGTGGCAGAGTGGCAGAGTCTTCAGAGGAGACGATTAAAAAAAAGTAAGCATTAACTAGAGTTAGGGGCAGATTCCGGTCCAGAAGGAGGGTCAGATTCAGGTCCAGAAGTAGGGTCAGGTTCAGGTCTACAATTAGGGCCAGATTCAGGTCCGAAAGGGCATAATTGGAGTGTATACGACCTCCCGTCTTCCCCGCAACACAACGCACCATCATTTTGACTGCATCTGGACGGAAAGATAGTCTGTATACATTCATTATAGGGGTGCGTTATGTTCGGGGGAAGACGGTAGTGCTCGTGGGCATTTGCCGCCGAGCAGCACTTCCATCTTCTCTTCTGTGTAACGGAGAGCTCCACTGCCTCGTTACCCCGAACAGAACACACAATCCATCCCTTCTCACAACCTATATGCACCTAACAACAACTAGGGTCACATTCCGGATGCACCTAACGAGAATTAGGGCCAGATTCCGGTCCGAATCTCCCAAGCACATCCATCTGCTGTGCAATTGGGTGCTCCATCGCCTCTTTTTCCCTCGAACAGGACAAGCAAGCCGCCACGCTTTCCAAGAGTATTGTCTGTACCATGCGCGAATTGTGGGTCGAATCCATTACTCGGATTGACGACCCCGCGTCGTATTCGGAAACGCACAGCCGATCCCGCGAGAGTCGGATCATTGCCCGAGTGAGCGCGCGATATATGCATATTAAGGTGGATTCTCATTCACAGTGTAATCTAAAAAAAAAAAAAAAAAAAAGGGTCAGGGGATTCTGCAGACTGTAGAGGGGTTCACCCTCCTGACGAGTAAGTCGGTGAAACTCCGACGAAACAGTTCAGTTTGTCACAGCCCCTCGCTTGTTGTCCTCTTCTCCCTCCCTCCCTCCCTCTCTGCCTACGGTTTAACGTCGGCAGCTCTGTTTAGAGCCCGGAAAACCGTATAGGCAGAGAGGGAGGGAGAAGAGGGACAGCAAACGAGGGGCTGTGACAAACTAAATGTATATATCTGTATATAAAATAATTAAATTAAAACTCGCCCATAGTTACTTACATTGATTTTCAAGTACCGCACCTCTATATTCAGATTCAAAAAAAACAAATTAAAAAAAATCAGGAAGTCTTGTACTCTTCAATGTTTTCTTCATCTGCTTTCGTACAATTTTTTTGATATCTGCTTCCGTACAATTTTTTCATCTGCTTTCGTCCATTTTTTTTTCATCTGCTTTCGTACAATTTTTTCATCTGCTTCCGTACAATCGTTTTTTAAAGACTTGCGTCTATTTCATTTGTTGTTCGTATATAATATAATACTATACATAGATCTCGTAAATATATGAATACTGAAACTCTCTGTCAATTGATGGAACGGAACACATTGCATCAACCTTCAAGTTCTGGGTTTTATTAGCCAGCTCGGTGCGTCAATACACGTTTCTATGGGCGTCGCTCCACTGCAGAATACAAAACATGCACTTGGACGCTTAATGGAGCAAGATGCATTCGGACGAATCGAACATCTTCAATGTATCCGGCCCAGAAAATGTCTAAATGCAATGGATAGTGTTGTGTAGTGGACCGAGGCCCTATGCTCACAGCCATGTTTCTGATGTGCACTGGCCTTTATCATATTCTGCACATCACACCGTCGCACAGACCAGCTCTCTCTGTCGAGCGCCGACGTTCAATACCACACAAAACGACAAACGAGGCGGACGATAAGAGAGAGTGAAGAGGAGCAAGAGGAACACGAGAAGAGGAGGAGCGGAGGAGAAGGTTGCCTGCGCTCATTCATTGTTGAGGGCAATAGAAAAAGGACGAGAAAAAAAAAACAAAAAAAAAGGAGAATAGGAAAAGAGGAGAAAAGAGCAATAGACGTGAAAGGAGGAGACGAGGAGATTGCCTGCGCTCATTCATTATTCGATAACAATAGGAAGAGGAGAAGAGGAGAGAAGAGCAATCGAAGAGGAGAGAGGGAGAAGGGGGAGAGGAGGAGAGGAGGAGAGGAGGAGAAGAGAAGAGAGCAATCGAAGAGGAGAGGAGGAGAGGAGGTTGGCTGCGCTTATTCATTGTTAAGCCTTTCTATCCTAATTTAGGAAAGGTTGGGACAGGAAAGATCCGTCGTGGAAGAGCATAAAAAGAAGCAAATGACTGCAAATGCACATCGACTTTAACAAAACAAAAAAAAAAAAAAAAAACTTTTACCAAAACAAAAAATCGAGTTCACAGAAGAAGAAAAAAAAAAGGCGTTACGAAAACCGGTGAGATGAGATTCTTAAATCGAGAAGAAAAAGGCAGGTTCGTTCACCCCCCTCCCAATTGATCCATCGCCCATAATCCTAAAACGGCAAACTGTTGTTCGTGCCAGCCCGAAGGAAAAATTACAGGAAGTCCTCATTCAGCGAATTAAACTATAACAAATATATTTAAAACGATTTAAAACGAATAAACCCAACACTAGTTTATCTGAAACGCATAATTTACCTGAAACGAGTTTATCTAGAAATTAAAAACCAATTATCTCTACAACTAATTAGTCAAACTACTGTAATTACAAAAGCGTCGCTCCCAAAGACATGCACACAGGTAGTACGAAAACACGAAAGTAAAAAAAAAAAAAAAAAAAAAAAAAACACGACTGACCAAAACAGAAAGTACTAAAACATCTGGAAAGTACAAAACAATCGCCTTCAAAGCTGACCTGGATCCTTCGCGTGTCAAACAAACCCACTGGGACTAGATGTTCTCTCTCTCTCTCTCTCTCTCTCTCTCTTACACGCGACGCTACAGTTCCACCCGCGAACGGGATGGCAGCCACTGGTCCAGTGCCTGGCGGTCGATGAGCGTGGGCACACTTACAGCAGTCACATTAATGACTGAATTTGGCCGCCTGTCCGGTCCAGTACAACCAGAACAGGTCCTCATAGTAAGCATGCCCTGAGCGCTCGATTATTATGTCCATATACTCAGCGGGAAAATAAAGATATTCTTCTAACCCCATTGAGAATTTCCCTTCGACGTTCCTGACCGTAATTTCGGCGTTTTCTGTACCGAAATCGTCAGGGCTGACCGGGCTCCCGCCAGTAGGACCTGCCGATGATCTCGGTTCAGAAAAAGCCGAAATTGATGTCAGGAACGTCTAAGTCAAAAGCCCAAAGGAGTATTAGTATCATTACTCTCTTACTAATTTTCATTATTAATATTATAATATAATATAATATATTATATTATTTTATAATATTCTTTCTTATTTTTTTATTTTTTTTCCTATTATTATGATTTGTTTATGTCCGTCGTCGATAGGTCCTCGAGAGAGAATTCTCGTTGTACGAACCTCATGCCCATGACAAGACAGATATACGTGATGACAGGAAAGCCCATCCGTCTGCTTTCACTCTGCGCTGGTGTACTGCGGAGGAAAAAAAAAGAAAGAGAGGATTTCACTACGTGCAGCTGCACTGTAATTTTATCTTTATTTATTTATATGTTTTAAATTTTAATATATTATATTTATTTATTCAATCATTTACAGAAATATATGCATACCAGTCGTACGTTCGCAGAGAGTCCAAAAAACAAAGCTTCCCGACCCAAAAAAATCCAAAATAAGCTCTCCCCCTACCCCTATCTTCACTGTGTCTAGACTGACAGTTGCCCCGAATACAGCTGCATATAATGACAGGGCGTTCTATTCGCCTGAACACGACGGAAGGTAGATCTCAGGGCGAGAGAAACGTCAACAAAACTGAAAATTTTAAGACAAATAATTAGCGGGAAAAAGAAAAAGGAAAAAAAAAGAGAGAGGCTCCCACGGTTGCATTTATTTATTTGTTACGCGGCGGACAACTCTGCCTTCATACTCCGAATAGATCAGATGGACGTTATTTTCCGACTGTATCTAGCCGGAATCCTGGCATGAATTCATTCATCATGACGGTACGCAGTGCTTCTGCCGGGATCTTGGGTTGGTTAGAGAGCAGATCGGACGGTCTTCATCACCTTGCAGAGCCGCAGATCCCGATCGCACTGCTTTCTTTCCGATATGAGTCTTTGACTTTAAAAAAGTCCAGTCGACTACGGTGACAAAGCAAGCAAGTTAAAAAATAAAAAATAAAAAATAAAAAACACAAATATTTAACAAATAGAAACTTTAAATACAATTTTCAAACAATAACAAAAAAACGGAATTAAGCAACGAAAAAAGGCGAAAAAGCCGCCGCACACGCGCCCACGTAGAAACCTTTGCTTCGACTACAGCAAAGCCGGGCCTCGCGCAAGCGATCCTTCCCCTTCGTTCCCTCTCTACAAGAACAAAGGATCTGCTGCCACGTGGCAGCCGGATCTGCTGCCACGAGGCAGACGATCTACTGCCACGTGGCTTCCGCCTTTGTGACATCTATCTCAAACCTTGACTTTCTAATCACGCGCGAAGACGTGGCAGACACGTGGCAGCAGATCAACGGAGAAGGGGGAAATGCTGACTCCATTCCACAAACGCTGACTGTTATGA